ATAATCAATGAAATAGTTAGTCCTATTAAAATAATTTAAAAATTAACATATATGATAAATATAAATAAAACTTTTAATCTAATTGTTAGTTTTTAAAATATTAATTAAAAAATAAATTTCTAGATAAATTCTCTAAAAACAAAATTAAGAAAACTGACATACAAAATAATTTCTTAAGGTAAAAATTATTCCCAAATTCTTAATTCCAAATAAAAACAAAAAACTTCTATTATCATGGATAAAAGATAGTAGATGAGATGAGTACTTGTAAGATTAGTAGGGGCAAAGCTGAACTCCCCCCCCCCCCCTCTCTTTTTTTGTGCCATGTTATAAAAATAGAAAAAAAATGGAACCGAATTTAAAGTTTGAATGGATTATTGGAAGGCAGTTGAGTGGGAAAAACTCCACAGGTACGCAACCCATTCTTCAGCAGTTTCCATCGTAATCAGAGCACCGCTCTGTTAGTTATTTTCTGCAAATTGAACTTCAGCAAAACTTTTCAGGCTGTGTTCGACAAACATTTGGTTAGAAGAAAAGGAAGTTTTTAAAATTGTAAAAATGACTACACCTTTGTTTTCATGTATCAATTTTTGAAGCATTAATTTGACAAAAACATGATATATATCTTGTATTAGCCATGCTAGATGTGCAAGAATTATCAATTAATTAAATAAGAGGGTCCATAAAATGAACTAATCTTTGGTATGCCTCCTCACTCAAATTCTATTATTTGGTGGCCAATGTTAAGATATTGGGATTTGGGAGAATCATGTGATCAATTCATTCTAAAGATATCAAATAATATCCTCAATTTTTTAATTAATTAGATAGATTGCATTAAGAATATTTCAATAAGATTAATTTATTTATGTATATCATCTACCCTAAACCTTAAATTCAAGACTATTACATGTAACTAAATCAATATCTTAGAAATAATATTTAGTAAACATGTCTCGGTTTCTTATATTTTTGAAAAAATATTCAATATATATGTCTTGCTTTCCTATACTTTAAACTTTAATATTAAGTAATTGATTCTTTTACTGCCTTAACAGATGGAACTTCTTTTCTTTTTTGTTTTTTTTTTTCATTAAGACAAGTGGTTCGAGATGAAGAGGAGGATCGAACCTTTGTTATAATGAAAAAGATTTATATTAAATTATTAGGTCACTAAATTAACAGACCTTTTTCAACATATGGAACTTCTTGGAAAGCCCGCATATGTAGAAATTGAGAATCAATTCAATATTTGATATATGGGAAAACAAAAGGAAAGAATTACGGAATTGATGATCATAACTTTAGCCTATTCAAAATTAAATGTAGAAATTGATGTATTGCTTGGACCTGACATATGGCCTTGCCTATTTAATGTATCACTTTTTTTTTATTATCCTTTCGATATCCGGTAATTATATTAGATTTTGATTAATTTGAAATCGAGTCGTATTGCACCCATTTGAGGAAAACTTTCCTAACATATGTTTATCTATTTACAAAATTTAAATTCAAAACTTTATTTTAAAAAATCAAACTTCTTCCACTTAGATCATAAGTTATTAGATTTAGTGTACCACTTTAAATGAAATGATCCATGACCCCCAAGACTAAGCCCTTGTGGTCCTGTTAACAAACAAGAAATTTGTGGCTCTTCCTTAAAGACGGTAGAAGCAAATAACAAAGGCTTGCTCTATTCCCCAAACTTTTTGGCGCGTGCACTTGTGCAGCGTAGATATAAATACATTAAAAGTAATATTTTATAATTTGAATTGTAAAGTAGTATACACTGAATTTAAGACGGAAGAATAGAGTAGGACTGGAATGGTATCTAAGTCTGAACATCTTTTTTCTCTTTTCCATCTTCCAACTTTTAACCCACAACCAGCTGTTTACAACTTTAGCATTTAAAAACATGCGCTACTAATTACTCTATTGTGTCAAATTCTCCACTCTTTCATTGCTATATATACTTCACCATCCATGCCAATTGCCATGCAACTCTTCACCACATCAATAATATAAGAAAAACAAAGAATTTTCATGAAACATGGCTTCGGATTCTTCTTCTTTACCTAGCTCAATTTGTTTTCTTTTATCTATACTTGTATTCTCTACAATGTTGGTTGCTTATGCTGGGAATTTCTACCAAGATTTTGATATCACTTGGGGCAATGGCCGCGCCAAAATACTTGACAATGGTCGCCTTCTCACTCTCTCTCTTGACAAGGCCTCTGGCTCTGGTTTTCAATCTAAGAATGAGTTTCTGTTTGGCAAGATTGATGTGCAACTCAAGCTTGTTCCTGGCAACTCTGCTGGCACTGTCACTGCCTACTACGTATGTTCCAATTGACAATTACCTCATCATTGCCTTACTTTTTTAATTAAGGTGTTGTGGTTGACTTGCAGTGCTTTTGTTCTGCTTAATATTTCAGCTATCATCAAAAGGCTCAACATGGGATGAAATAGACTTCGAGTTCTTGGGAAACCTTAGTGGCGATCCCTATATTCTTCATACCAATGTGTTCAGCCAAGGCAGGGGCAACAGAGAGCAGCAATTCTATCTCTGGTTCGACCCAACTGCTAATTTCCACACCTACTCTGTCCTCTGGAATCCCCAAAACATTATGTAAGTATCAATACATATATATCCTCTGTTATTAAATTATATATGTGTTTAAGTTAGTAAGTATCAATTCAATTAAACTCATTCGTGAACAGTTTAATTTATGTGATCGCTTCAGTAATTTGTTTACATTATTTTTCAGATTCTATGTTGATGGCACGCCTATTAGAGAGTTCAAGAATTTAGAGTCGACTGGTGTTCCTTTCCCTAAGAGCCAAGCCATGAGGATATACTCTAGTCTTTGGAACGCTGATGATTGGGCCACCAGAGGCGGTCTTGTGAAGACAGACTGGAGCCAAGCTCCTTTCACAGCTTCTTACAGGAACTTCAACGCCGATGGTTGTGTCTGGGCTGCCGGAAGATCTTCCTGTACGTCCGGAAACTCCTGGTTCTCCCAACAACTGGATTCGGTGGGCCAAGCCAGGCTGAGATGGGTGCAAAAGAACTACATGATATACAACTACTGCACCGACACCAAGCGATTCCCTCAGGGCCTACCCAAGGAATGCTCTGCTAATGCGTAAATTGATCTGTTGGTGTATGGTATCATTATACCAGCAATGTTTTCACTGATTAAAAAATAAAAAGGCAATGCTAAAGCTTGCTAGGCAATGTAAAAGAGCCCCTATAGTTAATTGTATCATAAAAATGTTAGAAGATATATATATTTTTTTATGTCAGATAATTTTTATATAATAAAAAAATAATTAATTTTAAAAAAAAAATATCTTCACACCCATTTTAAAAATTTAAACTTAAATTTTTTTATAAAAAATCTTAAACACTCAACCAATAAAATGACCCTTAATAATCACACTTTGACGTTCTACTTTGAATTTTTTTGCTTGAGAAGCGTCTTCTAAAGTTACTGGACAAATGTGGGTACGTTGGAGTCAAATCGAGATGACTAAAAGCATTGGAATAGAAAAGCTGTAAGTTTGTTTGGAATCCTGATTTTGGTCTATTCAAATCGACAATAGAAAGTTCTTGTCGGATTTTATTTGTGGGAGGTAAAAATCCATTGTTGGTGCGCTTGGTTGGGAAGGAAAAGATGCAAATACGTTAGGCTGTTACCAAAGACAAACGAGATTGATTGTATTAGAATCTTTCTGACCTCTATATTGAGGGGAATTAGGTTCTCAAATCTCTTGTACCATTCATGATCCTTAGTGGATTGATTCTTTTTTTCATTTCGCCGTTAACATAATTAGTACTGTCTGCGTCGGTGTCAAATCACAAAAATTAATTATATATATATGTATACATATAAAAATAATATTTATTTATTTTATTTTTAAAAAATTAAAAAATAGAAAGATATGAATTGCCGATTTTCAACAAAGTAAAAATCAAAGGAAAAAAACAAAAAAGAAAGAAAAGAAAACGCGCACTTTGCTTTGTGTAATTATTATATTTTGGGGACCACCTGGTGTAATAGGTGTCCGTATTGGTATCTCCACCGACGAGTTTCCGCCACGTCGTAGCCATAACGTAGCGAAGGCTATTAGTCCTAGTCCCCATGCTACGTCGTGTCCGTTGTTTTTTTTTATTTAAATTTTTAATTATATAATAAAAAATAATTATTTTTTATTTTTTACTTCATTCGTTTGTATAATGTGATTTGAATTTAAAATTTTTTATTTTTTAACGAAAGGGATAACCGTTAAATTTGATACGTGTCATTGTTTTTTTAATTCTGGTAAAGTTGTGTGCTGGACCGCTGGTTATTGTTGCGCACGTTTACACGTTTAAGTTGTTAGTCTTTTCATTTTTGACACGGCCTCTAGATGTTTTTGTACGTACTTATCTCGTCGTTGTCACCTTTCAATTAAATTGAAAGATCACAAAAAGTTTTTAAATTTTTATTTTAATTTAATTATTAAAATTAATTAATATTTATTATGTAATATATTAAAATTAATTTATAATCAAATATTTTTAAATATTATAATTAATTATTTAAACAATTATAAATTAATAAAATCATAATTAAATTAATAATATTAACAGTAATTTCAACCTTTATAATAGAGGTGTACCATATTTTTGTGAACAAATAATAGGGGTT